TCTGCTTCTCCCCCTGTTGATATAATAAAATTATCATTTTGAAAACAATTTGGAATCTATGTCACTGTTATATAATAATTAGCTGAAAAACCAAAATATTATAAGATGTTCCACCATTTCTCCTAATCTTCCATCTAGTATTCAAACTAGACTGAGATTATGTAAATTTCAAAGTTCCATCCGTAATATCTTATCTTTGTAACATCCCCCTGTGTTTTCTTATTTCCAAAAGAAAAACAATTTAGAGGTGGAAAAACAAAAATGGAAGAACTTACCCCCATTATGCTAAAATTTCAACATGTCCAATCAGTTACCCGTAAGAAATATAAACCAAGTTTATTTAGTTAGAATTTAGGTTAGTGTGTTAGTGTTGTTAGTCAAAGTGGATAACACAGTTTCCTAATAACTACATTTATCTGCTTTAAACCAAGGCTGAATTCTCGTTTCATATTAATTTCACTGCACAAGCAGATGATTCAGCTTTAACCAGATCGTGACACCAAAATATGAAATCGTCTTTACCTTAAAATTGTCCGTAAAGCAGTAAGAAAAACATATTTATGAAACAAAACCTTTACTGTCCCTAAATATTTTAAAATAAGAAAAATATCACACAGCTACACACTAAACTGAGGTCATATTTACACAGAGCATCCTAAAACCCATCAAAGGCCATCTGCCTACACATTCACTCTCATTCACACTCAAGCAGACTCAGCAACACCCCATTGTAAGAAAGATGCAGGATGTTACCCCAGATCTCAAACCAAAATTCGTCCTGTGAAAGTCTTAAACACAATTATTATAACACCATGGTTGAAAAAAAAAATAAGAAGACATTATTATCCAATAGTTCTAATATTGTTTAGTTTTGAGTGAACCTTTTTTTTAAAAAACTCCATATTATACACACAACCGTATTTCATGATAGCCCACTGTTATTAAATGGCTACCTAGACCCCCTGTAGGAAAACCCAAAAACCGTTCATGTGGTCATGTAATATGCAAAATGGGCTGCACACGAAGATCGTCCTACAAGAAACAAAGTCATTCATTAGTGTTTCAACATGTCCTACATTAACAGTGTAGAAAACACTGTTAAGCAGAAAAACATCCATATGTTCTCATTTTTGTTCTCTTATTCCGATCAGTGAGGGTGTTCCATCCTGTCAGGAAACCTAGAAATTGAAGTGATTGTCAATGTTACAATATTACAAAAAAAAAAACAATTGGATCATTCCAGTGCTCTAGCCTGGAACTGATGCCACACATTTCTCCCGCTGAGAAAGTACAAACATCTGTAAATCTGTTATTTTGTACTTTTCATTTCAACACAAAACACAGTTCTAAGAGTAATTCACATCAAAATCCAAGAATCCTGAAAGCGTGAGCTGGAAATAGCACAGAACTGAAGCACTCCCAAAATGCAAATAAGGGGGGTCAATCAGTCCCCCTGCTGTGAAACAAAACTTGCATCCAAAACGGAGACACCTCTGTCCCACAGAAGCACATTTTAACAGAAAGTTAGTAATACAACATCCAGCAAAAATATTTAACAATATTTCATAACACAATCTTGAAACACAAATCACTACCGCACAATCTCAGCACAATTCAGACACAGACAGACAATAGACAGCAGCGCGTGGTGGGACATAGGCTACAGTATAACGGGGGGAGACAGACACACAGCAATAGATCAACCCGCAGCCAAGCACGCACACAAACACTAAGAAACATACAAAACACAGAAACACAGACAACGTTGTAGTTCAGTCAAGAAAAGACAGAAAAGAAAAGAAAATGTCAGGTGCCGGCTAAAGGAATGTATGACGCATCTTTTAATTTTCCAATTTCACTTTTACAAATCCCTTTTATTCTCATTTCAACTTCTCCGTCCTTCAAGGTGATTCAACCTGCTAAATTAATTATTCTCAGTCCTTTATGCTCTAAGCAACCCGATTAAGGGTGCCAAAGAAAGGTGATCCAACCTGCTATTAGTCCTTATTCCACGAGTTATACAACTCGGTCCAATTAACCTGCTATTAGTCCTTTTCCATGAGTGATACAACTCGATCCAATTAACCCAAATAATTATAAGTCCACTGGAGATGAGTTGAAATCTCCGGGCTGATACAAGCCCCTGCTAATTAATACACAGACACCCGAAATTCTTTTTTAGAGGCACAGGCATTGTTCCTCAGGGTTATAGAATAAATTAATCTTTATTAATTAATCAATTAATTAATCAATCAATAAAACCTTCTTTTAAAAAACCCAGCTTAAGTCAGAGTTAACGTAAAGGCTCTGTTTTGAACTAGCCACAGTTCCCTGTAATGTGTATTTATTCAAATCCTTAAACAACCGACTCTTTTAGGAGGGATTCTTTCTACTTCTGCAGCTTCTGAATTCTGTGAGGCCGCACACAGCAAATCAGCCCCGGTCCGACCACACGGCGCTTCAGACAACTAAAAAATAATCAAATACGGTCTTACCACACCGAAGCGTCGGGCCGAAACGGATCAATCAGGACCAAACAGCCGCGCGCCGAGACTCCAGAACCGGCACGAGCCCCCAATTGTAAAGGAAGAAAATATTCTAACATAGTTAACTTTGGAAAAAGGTTGGCTTCTCATTCTTCCCTTTCCAGGTCCACCCGGCGAGCTGCGTGTGGTCTCTATGAAAACCAGCATTGCGAGTTGACATCACAGAATTACAGAGTTTAATCCAATATAAGACAATGCATACACTTAGAAATAAGACAATGCACAAACCTACACCAGAAACTGCAGAACAACGGAGACATACATTCCATTACCTGACATAGGAGGAAAGAAAGCAAAGACGTACAAGAGATCTTTGGAGAGTTTGCAAGAGCAAAATCTGATTTTTTAGTTCTATTTAGAAAGCTTTATCCTCTTGTATCTAATCCATTCAAAAAGGGCTGGCCCTCGGTCCTCCAACCAAAAGCCATCTCTGACACTGCCTAGAGCTTCCCCTTATTTACTGCAAACATCTGGGGTCATTTGCTTCTTTGTTTTAACAAGAAAAAGCGGAAAGCTTGTCCTGGCATCTAGAATTCTTAAAGTCATAAAACACAAGATAAGCTTCCACAGACAGCTTGTGGAATGCGGGGGGCCTCACCATAAATTCTCAGGAACAAACTTAAATTTAGTAATCTGGTTCAAGGAAAGGTTATCTTCACAAACTTGTTCAAAATAAGAAATATGTTCACAAGGAGAGTATACAACATACCTTTTACACATGCCATAAGATTAAGTGTATTAAAGACTAAAAATAATAATTTTTCTTCAACAATACTAATGAAAAAGCGAAGCCACTTAAAGACCTTGTTAGAGCATTCCTGATTTCTACCTTTGTCAACATTATATTTTTTGTATTACATTTTAAATGAAAAAAGTTTTGCCTACAACCAGTCCCTGATTGGTTGCCATGTCGGGATTTCACAGAAAAGTTAAGCTCGTTTCAACTCTCTCCTTTGGGTGCTGCTGTTTGACAACACCTCAGTTCTATATGGAGTAGCACAAGGTTTGGGCGCAGCAGTGACCACACAGACCGCAATAATGCAACCATTTTTGGCATTTAATTAATCATATATAATTACTTTTTTTCATTTTGGCAGGGTAGGACATCAAACAATTGTGCTAAAGTAACTAAATATGATCAAATAGATGCCAAAAACCGTTGCATTATTTTTTTCAGCACTACTGGCCGCTTCCTGCCCTTCCCCTGCAGTTTGAATAGGAATTCAATGTGAATCCACTCTGGGGGGATCCTGTGTCCGGTCTGAAGATCTGAATCATAAGGTTTATATGCCCAACATGTTAGGAGAGATATTACGTTAGTAGCTTCCTTTAGTCACGTGTGGTGCAGTAACATTAGATGTTTTTGCTTTACTACGGTTGAATTTCCCAAAACATAGATGGAAGCCAAGATGAAAGTCTGACCTAAATAACCATTACCAAATTACACATTACACATCACAATGAAAAGCATTAATATCATCCTGTTTCAGAGGTTAAATGAGCAGTGTTTTCCAGAAAAGATAGCAAGTCAAACAAAACCCAGCACAAGCAGAGCGAGAGCAGGAAAGTGGAAATCAGCAAAGCCACTGTTCTTTTGCATTTGTATGTGGAAACAGCATGAGTTATTGAACTCCTTTTCAGACAGAAGCTGTGGTGCTGCAAAACTTGTGGTAAAAGCTTCAGATTTAGACATGGGCGTAGGTTTGCATAGGGACCATAGGGACATGTCCCTACCAAAATTTTGGAAGGACCTATTTGTCCCTACCAATAATTGGATGTAAACAACATGTTTATAATTTACTATACAGCAGCCGCTTCTTTGCCTCTCGCAGCTTCTCTGCCTGGTAGCTGCAGCTGCCTGCTCTTTCCTGTCCCTTTCACATAGCGGCTAGAGACTGACACGGGAGTGGATTTTCACTCCTGTCCCGTCCCACTCCCACAGAAAAAAAATGTGTCCTGTCCCGATCCCGGGCCAGTGTAGAAATCTAAATCCTGTCCCGTCCCACTCCTGGTGAAATTACTCCCACTCCCATACCGCTCCCATTCAGAATGACTCCCGCTCCCGCACCACTCCCATTCTTGTTGTCTTCAATAAGATTTCTGCCAATACATTGAATCTGAATTTAGTAAAAGGAATAATAATTATAAATACATAATAAAAGTAACAAACAAGGAAACAGACCATGCTTATCTTAGGTTAATAAACAAAATGTACAATATTGCCTTTTAGAAATTTATTGTTTCGTTTGAACAAAGAAGTTACTTTTAATTTTCAAATTGCTGAAACTTAAAATCTATGCTTAATTGAGCAAAAAGTGCATAAAGGCATTACATTCACAATTTAGATAACACACACAAATGGCTCAAAAAGCTGGATATGGTAAACTTCCAGACTTGCCCATTTGCAAGAAAACAACTTACTATAAGAACTAAAATTATTGAACGTTAAACACATTCTTGGATGAGTCCAGGAACCTTATATGTTGCTATGCAGGAACAAAAGTGCATCCACATTGTCTGGACTGAGGTTGGAACGTCTCTCCTCAATGAGTCTTCCAGCTGCACTGAAACTACGTTCAGAAGGTGTACTTGTTGCTGGGATTGCTAGCAGCCTCTTGGCAACAGGCACTAGCCCATCTGACCTCTCTTTCCAGAAGTCAAGAAGAGACTGAAAGCGTGTCCACTTGGAGTCAGTCATATACTCAAGGACCAACTGGCGACCCTTTGATTCCATAGTGCCAATGTCCTCCTCCCTCTCCTCCTCTACGACACAACTTGCAAAGAAGTTATGCACCTCTGTGGTCTTTGTGGATGAGCTGGATGGGGATGAACCTTCAGGAAAAAGAGAAATTATTATAGAACATTGCCATTTGCAATATAGCTCTTTGTCTTCCAAATAGCCTATTTCTTTGTCTATCAAAGGTCTCATCTAAATAAAACATGACCTACTAGATACTGCACACACCCGTGTGTGTGAGAATGTGTGCCACAAAATAAAAGGAAGGCCTTTTGCTATTTACTACTGCTCTGAATGCTCTGTTCATGGTAGTGTTAGTCACCCGATTTCTCCACACAGCCTGTCTCTCTCTCCTCTGTCCCTGATGTTTCTGTGAGTGCTGCCAGGGTGTTGATGACCTCCTCATACTCCTGACAAAGGAGAGTTTTCCTCAAGAAACTCCTTAAGCTAGGTGAGAAAGCTGTGGCTAGCTTATGGTACTGGTGGATTTTGAACTTCAACTCCACTGCCTGGGCTAACTTCACTTTCAGCTAGGGGAGGAGGAGGGAAATGACATAATGATACATGCATTGTTATCATGATAATATATACAACATCATTTTTATGGAGCATGAGTTCTAAGGCAGAAAAAATGTGCTTTATATTACTCATGGAACAGTTATGAATGTATTTAATAATTAACCTACACTTTATGCTGGACAAGATCAAACACACAATTCTTTTCTTGTGTTTATTTGTCTGTTATTGGATAGGGCCAAGTTCCTGTCAGCAACTTCAGTCACCCCCCACCTTAACAACAAAAATCACTAATGTTTTGTATTACCTCTTTCATAACCACACTGTCTCCTTCCACGATCGACAGACCCCTCAGTAGAGTCGCTTTGGTCGGGAGAACGAGGTGAAGGGTTGGTGTCTGCTCAGTAGAGAGGTGTCTGGTAGCCTCATCAAAAGGTTCCAGGAGTTTGATGATGTCCTCGAGCAGATCGCAATCTATGTTGTTTAGATAACGCAGCTCGTTTCTGCGGAGCAGGATCTCATGCAGCTTAACAGACCTCAGAGCATCATTAACAGACTGGAGCATTGCTAGTCTGGTATTCCACCTTGTCTCGACAGCTTGCTTTAATGACTGGTCCAGCTCTTTTTGTAACCTGAAATTAAAAGAGGAGTGACAAGGTTACAGGGATTACAAATTGTAATTAGAGGGTCTTTTTGGGAAAAAAGAAAAAAAATTCATTTGATTTCATAATTAGATACAAGGCAATATTTTATGTTATCTTACCCTGCTCTTTTAAAGTGTGTCACAAGAGTCTTTGTGTCCCTAAACAGTTTGATGATCCTACTGTGGACTGGGTTGTCTTCATCCAAGTGGTCAAATACATGTTTTAAGATTAAGTTGATATTATGACCAGCACAGGAGATTCTGATATAATCCTTAAAAGCTGCTGTTACGTTGGAGCCATTATCCGTCACAAAGACTGTGTCCTTTCTTAGGATGCCAAATTCCTGTTAGTTATTTTTTTACAAAGACAAAACATAAAACCTTAGTAAATAGAAGCCCAGACATAAGATCATCATATAACAGAATGATAAATAATGTATTTTACAGATGTAATTTTCCTAATTATATATATTACTAAAATAATTGCTTACTCATATGCTTTTTCAGCATCTTGTAATTCTCTTGTGAAATATTCTTATTGCACAATGTTCTATTTTGAAGTACATGCCTTAAAGACATTTTATGAATTAACTGGCAAGTTTAATTTTATATGCCATGTAAATAAGTATTATTTTATATGCCATGTAAATAAAATCCATCTGATTTGAGAGAGATACCTGAAGAATTCCCTCCACAGTTCTTCTGATGTTGTCACCGGTTTTGACACCTTCCATCTCCCTTGTAGCCAAAATCCGGTTCATTAGCTTCCAATCCATAATGTAATGAACTGTGACAGTAATGTAGTGTGTGCTGGTCCTCTCCTCTGTCCATAGGTCTGTGGTTATAGCATGGTCTGCAGTCTGCAGAAAAAGGAATTAAGTATTTTATTACATGGCCACAAATATTTAACATAATACATGCCTCACTCAGAATACTGAGAAATTGAGCAGTTAAAAAAGGAAATAACTCTAGTGTTAGGATAATTATTGATTAGACTGCTGAATGACTACGTTTTTGTTTTACAAAAATGTTACATACCTGACGGAGCTCTTCCATGACAAGTTGCTTAAGTTTTTCATACTCCTCTTCCACATGACGGGACACTGTGCGTGCACACGGCAGTATGTCTTCCACCTGTACCTCTCCATACTTGGCTCCAATATCGAGCAGGTCCTGCGCAACGCTGATGAAGCCTTTCCCCTCTACTGTAGCAAACGGTCTTATATCTTGACTGCACATGCGAGCAATTTTATTGGTCAATTGAGTCTTCACATGTGATGGTACCTTACGCTTGACAAACGAAGAAATGAAAGGCTGATTCTTTCCAGTATTACCCTTGCAAGTGTGTCTTTTGAGACCGCTCGTCCCGGACTCACTAGTGTACTTGATTACGGTCAAGCACGTTTTACAAGCGGCGTATTGGGTGTTAACACCGTGATACTGAACTCTTATGAAGTTCGGTAATATCTGAGACTTTCCTGTCAGCTCCGTGAGTTTTACAGATACATCCTTATTTCTCAGCTTGCGTTGCAAATCCAATTTTTCAAAGTCTTGTTCGCCACTAACTGTTGGTCCCTCCATTGTTGTTCAGAGAACTCAGAGCGGAAGCACTGATGGTTTCTGGGTCGTGTAGTTTTTTTGACTCGCATTATAGTGTAGGCTTCAAGGAAAAAAACTACAAAATGGCGGCGCCGCGCAAGTACTGGATTTTTTTCTTTTCTTTCTATTTTATTTAATTATTTGGCATCGATCCTAGTTTTTTTTAGTTACTATTGGTTTGCTCCCGCTCCCGTCTGCTCCCGTTAATGTTTAATCCTGTACCGTCCCAATCACGTGATCGTTACTAATACTGACTCCCATCCCACGGGAATCCCACGGGAATCCCGTGACCCATGGGATTCCCGAAAAAATGTCAGTCTCTAATAGCAGCGCATCAACTCTGCTGCGCGGTTTAACTCTCTGATTATTCTGCCTTAAGTTCCGCCTTCTCTCTTTCTGATTGCGTGTTTTCTAGTCTGTAAGTGCGCGCGCGCGGATGCTTGGAGCGCGAAAAAAAAGACGCTAAAATAAATGAACATTGGGCTACGAAACTAGTCCAAATTAAAAAAAAATATTATCTACGCTAAAACAGGCGAAAGCTTCTGACTGGAGTTCTGTAAAGAAGCAGGAGAGAGTTTTTTGATTTGTGGAACTTGAGAAATGTAAGTTAACAACGTTAGGATTTCTTTTATTTTATCTTTTAATCAGATAGCCAAAGGCTCCTTAAAGAAGATATTTTATGAAATACGTTTCCTTTGGAGGAGTTCTTGATGGAGAATATTGACAGACAAAAACTTTTTTTTTTTACTTCTTAAATGCTAATATTTTTTTACAATCTTGGTATAATTCCTGCTCTAAGTGGGTCCCTCTGTCGGCTAAAGGCACATTTTAGTGGCCCTATACTCCAGTTTACGATTAATCAATTACTAAATTAGTTCACGATTATTTATTAATTTGCTAACATGATTAATTGTTTCAGCCATAGATAAAATACATGATATTAGCTACACAGAGTAACTACAGCCCAGATGTACAACTTCTAATATTAATATTTTAAATGCTCAGTGTCAGTTCCTCTTATAGTTCCAGTGCACATGTAAATACAATACATTTATTTTCCGTCCCTTGAATGTATTATTTTGCATGATCCAGTGAGAGCATATCAGATAAAAAAAAATAAGAGTGGGGTTTACCTGTTAACCTCTGCACAATTCTATATCTTCAGAAGAAAACACAGGATAAATCCACATATTATAGACTATATTTGGTTAAACAGACACTGTCTGAGTCGCAGGTAAATTTAAATGCAATCCTTTTCAAAGTGGAAAAAGTCCTAATTCCACATTCATCAGAGCCAGTGATGCTTTAAATATTGATAAACAGCATCTAGTGCATGTAGTGCTTATAAGATTTGTATTAATGTAGCAAGAAATGCTGCTGTTCTCTTTTAACAAAATGAGCCCTGAAGCTCACATTAAGCATAAAAAAAGAGCATGCATATTTTTTGCAAAGGACCAATGACACTGAAGAATAGTGTCCCTACCAAAGTTGAAATCAAACCTACGCCCTTGGATTTAGAGGGAAAGGTGATCCTGTCATCAATATACAGTGTAGATCAATGTCAAGGATGCCATGGTAAATTTTCCTTTAAAAATATTTTTTTTCCTACCTTTACACTCCTTTACCAACATCTGAAATAGGTTTTTCTATATTTACCACAAATGCCTCTACATGCTCCATTAGTCAGTTCATGGAACAGGGGTTTGAGCTGCAAACACGGCAACTGTTTTTGAAGATGAGTTGATTAGCAAAAGTTTTTAATAAGAAATTTGTTTAAAAAAAAACCTGTGTAAAGGGGAATTAATCTTGAATCAAGGCATTTTTTTAAAGCTTTTTCTGACATGATCTTGACACCGGCTGGGTTTAACTCCCCCTCTTATCTGCTTTGCTCCTCCCCAGCCGAATTATCTCTTATCAGCTCCACCTCTCTCTTCTGCTATTTCTGCCACCGGTTCCCAGCCCATGGTGCCAGAATATTGGTGCTTCCAGTGAGTCTAATTCTAGTGTTTTCTGAGTGTGTTTGTTCTGCCTGATCCTGACCTGTTTCTGCCCCCGGACTGCTGAGTTTTGGCCGCCCCTCTTCTGCTCTGTTTTGCCTCTTCTGTGTTTCCGGACTTACCTGGATTTCACCTGTTGCCGACCTTGGACCTGTCTTCTGACCAGGGCTTGGATTATCCCTCCTGGCTTCCTCGTTTCCTCTGTGTGCTCTGGCTGGTGCTGATCACTGCTAGTCTTCCCTCCTGGATATCTAGTACAGGCTCAGTTTCAAGCTGCGGGTTTCACCTCCTCAGGATTTTACTCCTTCTTCTGAGCACAGACTGAACTTTGCCAGGTTGGTGACTTTCAAGTTCACTGTAGTTCCCCGTTCTAGTTTCAGAAGTCTTTGATCTGAGTCTACATCCCCACAGCGTATCCATTGAACCTGGCCAAGCTGATGAGCAGCCACACACAGCTTTTTCAATAAACGCCTTTTAAGTTATCACTGTCTGTCTCGTCTGAATTCTGGGTCCATTTCTCTGAGCCTTCTGACATTTTTAGCTTTTTAATTGTGATCAACATGATCATCATCACAAGGTAAATTTTGAAAGTACTTTATTCAAAAGGAATAATCTCTAACACTGCAATCCGTGTATCATTCGTTCTTTCTATTTTCAATTGTCAATCAAAAAACAAAAAATAAAAAATTGACTGGTTATTTTGTTTTTTGTTTTTTATGGTTAAACCAAAAACGAAAAAAGGATTTGTTTTTCATATATCAATTCTAAGCTCAGATCAAGAATACGAAATGGAAAAACGCAGAATTTGATTTTAATATTTAATCGGTACAGTTTACGTGACCCGGAAATAGCTCTTTGCGAGGCAGTGGGGTGATGAAGTGGCTACCATGGCGACGCTAGAACGCTGTTTGTTGTTGCTAGTTAAAAGTACAGTGCACAGAAAAGTTTCAAGAAAAAAGTTATACCTGGAAAATCCTGCTGATTTTCTCCGTTGTCATGTCCTCCTCCTTAAGAGTCACACGCTTGGATCCTCGACCGTAACTGTCCATGGCTGATAGGTCCGACTGCCTTATCTGGTGCAGCTTGATCGAACGTGGTGGGGGTAAGCATAGATATCCATAATAAAGCCTTTATTATGGATATCTATGGGGGTAAGCCAATTGTTTTTTTTAGCTAAAGCTCCACCAAACTTCCGGGTCATGTAAACTGTACCGATTAAATATTAAAATCAAATTCTGCGTTGCTGTCCGTTTTTCAATTTCGTATTCTAGATCTGAGCTTAGAATTGATATATGAAAAACAAATCCTTTTTTCGTTTTTGGTTTAACCATAAAAAACAAAAAACAAAATAACCAGTCAATTTTTTTGTTTTTGTTTTTTGATTGACAATTGAAAATAGAAAGAACGAATGATACACGGATTCACTGCCTACATCTCAACAGGGTGTTATGTAATACAGCTACTGTATATAAATATATATATATATGGATAGTACAACTTTGAAGATCACCTGAACAAACATGTTTCTTAAATTTCTTAAATCCTTTAGCAAATGGAGTCTCACTGAGAAAAATCACTCAGTGACTTGAAAAAGCTCTATATAAATACAGGCCATTTACCAGGTGCTTCTCTGACTCCATCACAGACTTCATATAACAGTAAGACAATAAAAAATATATGTGGTGAGAAAAAAAAGGGCCCAACTGGAGTTGGATAAGCAAAGGAATAAGACTAAGTAAATATTGATGCAGCAATAAAGGGAGCTCAGATCTGAATGAAAAGAGACCAGCAGTTTAGTCCATTTTTTTTAATGTACCTTTTTGTGTGTTGGTGACTTCGCAGGGCAGGGGTGCTGAAAGCTTTTTTTAACAGGGGATGCTGTAAAAAAATTTTTTTTTTTTTGGATATGGACTTGAATGATCCACCCTGGATTCTGGCTTTTGCAGTCCAAAAAGATCAAAAAGGGTCAAAATCCAGTTCTTTGCCTGCTTTATTCTCGGTACAGACAAACAGATTACAGGCTGCACAGGATTCTGCTATTGCTCTCACTCTAATTCCTGCACCTGTTCTTTAATTGACTGAATGAGACTGTGACTGAAAACTGAGAATTGAGAACTGGGAACTGAGACTTGGAACTAATAAAAAACATATGACCACCCACGTGCATAATGAGCTACCTAAGACCTCCCTATTTATACTGTGAAACACCCACATCCCAAGTTAAAACTATTTAACTAATCAACTGAATCACTAAACAAATCTTTTTCTAAATAACAAATCAAAATAAATAATCCAAATTCTAAGATTGAAGTAAAAATGGAGAAATGGCTCCCACGGACAGGATACAATATTATCACAATATTGCAATATCACTATATATTGTGATGTTTTTCCCAACTATCAACATTAGATGTATAGATAAAACAGCAAGGGCTGTATATGTTCATCAGAAGATATTGATCATTTATATATTTTGGTATCCATGTTTTTTGGGTTTGTCAGTCCAATTCTTCCACTGTGACTGCCTCAACTACAGATATGGTGCTGTGGCGCACAGCAAAAGGACTCCATGGTGCTGTATACTAGAGTGGCAGTGCAGAGGTAGCCAATTTTCCCTCATTGTTTTAGGTAAAATATTTTGTTTTTAAAATCGATACCAGGAACTGAAAAATATATATTATATCGGGCAGCTGGAAATCACAATATATCACCAAAATGATTTTTGCACTTTAATAACGTAGATTTGGTATGAACCTGAGTCACTGTGTTTACGTCCCATGTGACTATTAGTTCCAAAATCCTTTATCGCAAACCACAAGAAAACAATTATATTTTTATACTATTTAAACTGGGCCTGCAACTTCTATCAGGGGTCTCATTCTGGCTGCTCTCAGTTGTCATGGTTGTGGTACTAGGGTTCTTCTTCATAGGTGGTAGTTTTCCCAAAAAATCCAATATGCGTTTCTGTGTCATATTTTCTCCTTGTTTCTGTCATTAGACTGTAAATGTACTTGTTTGCTGCCACGAGCGGGATACCTCTTTACTTTGCGACCACTAGCTTGCTTGATGTTGCCATGACAACGTAACTTCTGTTAACTTGTGTTGATTAGGCCTCAAAGTAAAACAAAATAAAAATCCAAGTACAAGTAATAGTAAAATAAAGGCAAAATACTTATTTTCAATACATCTTTTTAAAATATGCCTCTCGCCACTAGGGGGTGCTGCAGCACCCCCAGCATCCCCACTTCCCGTGGCCATGTTGCAGGGTAGCACCACCACAAACAGGACTGAACAAGCTTCTATCTTAATGGATGCATGAGGTGCTGCATAAAGCAACATGCCTATTACACTATCTCTCCCCTTAAAGTGTTACCACTTGTATAATTTTGTGGCAAAGAAGAATTGTCAGCTTTTTGCAGATTTAATAATTTACATACTCAAAATTGTTCTTCATGCAAGATGTAAAAAACAATAAAAAATAGTGACTTTTGATTTGTGGCTTTCATGGTTAAAGTAAAGGATGTATTTAAACTGCCAAAAACAACATGCTGGTCTTTCATAGCCACAGTCGATTCATTTTAAATATCTAAAAGTGAAACTGATGCTCACAGTTGTTTAGAATTACTGTAAGTTCCATTAAGTAAGAGCAAAGCATGCAATTTATAAAGGAAATGCTATTTGTTATGTTATTACAATACAATGTTACATTACCATGCTGCAGCATGATTTTTAAACAAAGCAATTAATGTGCCCTTTTTAAACTTTCTTTACCTTTCAGCAGTAGAACTGGAGAGAAGTTTAAAATGGAGAAATTGAGAAAACTCTCTTGGGTTAACTGGGATGTTAGGTGTGACTTTGTAGCAGCATTAAATGGTCTAAATGGCTCGTAGTTCGGCTTTACTGGGGCGCTTAGTATAGTTTCGCTTTTGTCTCTAAAGAGAACAAAACACTGGCTAAAGAGAAAAAAGATACACATTTATATGAAGTGCTTTTGTTTCAAGGCCTTTAACAGAAATCATTACTTTTGCTCTTTGGCAGTTTGTGACATTTTAAATTTATGCATAAGCTTTTCTGCTTTTTTAAGGTTTGTAGTATTCAGTACTCAACCTTTTATTTTAACCTTCTCACTCAGCCTTAAGTATCTTCATGATCGACATACAGTTACCTGGAAATCTTTCCAAAATCCTTTGGCTACAACTAAAAACTCAAGATACAGTTTAATTAATAAAGAACTTTCCCTGTCTTTCCTTTTATACTGTAAAATGAAAAAATCAGTTCGGTCTAAGCATGAAAAAGGAGGAGTTTTGTGGATAATCAACCTCTTTTGTATTTGAAGAATGGGTGATGCTTTTGGTGCACTTCTATTCCTAAAATGTTAGAATAGAATTGCACATGAAGATTTTAATGAATAAACATTTCCATGGAACATTCATAGATTGTAAGTTCCATCTGTGAATGTACCATGAGGGCCCCCAATGGGTCACATATTACGTGTATGCCCAATTCATTAGAATGTAAATCCCTAATATGCTTTAAAAAGTCAAGGTATGGTTTTAAAGAGCAGTCTAGCAACACATAAGTATCATTGTGGCAGGATGATGCTGGAGGCCTGTTTACTGGGCCCCAATGGAACAGGTGCTTTGGAAAAGGTAGGACAATATAGAAGAGAGACTTCCTCCAAATTCTTTAACTTTACATCAGATCTACAATTAAACATTTTAAGTTTAGACTTGGTTGGATGTTTGAACTGGACAATGATACTGAATACGCATTTACTGGTCATTTATATCTATTTTTTTCACCACAGCTTTGGGTAAAATATAAGTTTCTCACTTGGTATCACTTTTATGGTAAACAAAAATTACATAAATTATGAAGTCCTTTCAGATTAACTACCATATAAATTGTATCAGCTAAAAAATATCAGTATACCACTACAACACAAATACATTATATTCATGATTTTGTTTCATACAGCAATGAATTCCCTGGTGAGTTTTTGATGTGTGTATGCTCCTGCAGAAACAAAGCCTATGCACATTAGTTTGTTGCTATTATGGATTTTCTGTCATATTCTCAGGATGTATTTAGTGGACGTAGGGATTCTGTTCGTTAGAAAACTGGTAACTTACTCTGCTGATTTGTCTCAAAATATTTGGCTACTAACAAGATGCACGGCGTAACAATCTGATTAAAGCTTTTTCTGCACTGATACTGCATTTTAACAAACTGGCCAAAAGCCGTGCTGCTGCTATGAGAACTGAGATATGGCACTAAACTGAAATACTAGAGGGGCAACTTATTTTTAATCAGGAAAAAAGAAGGATGTTCATTTAAAAGTGAAATAATCTTTTCTGACAACAGGAAAATAAAAGTCCTTTATAATCCAAATGAAAGTAGTTATGACTCATTGTGTTTTATTCATAAATCCCCTTTTGAAGTCCAGTGCAGATAACTCTCTGGCTCTCTGGCTCTGACTAACTGTACTGGAGAGATCGTCCAATAATGTGGTTTTACTTTGACAAAGGAAAAATGTATCAGACAGGCTGACCCACTTTGCTGACCTCTCTTTTTATTCTCTTTGCTCTGTCAAAAGCTAAGGGAAGCTATTTCATTGTTTGAGTTTCCAAACAAAAAGAAAAAAAGGTTTTGGTTGTTGTACATGAAGGAATATAATTTAAAACATCTAATTAAGGGGCAGGTGTTAAAACATTTTTAATTTTAGGTCTTCTTGATTTTTACTGTGAAAAAATTGTCTTCTATGAATAAATTGGTGCCTTTCAGAGCTAAGCATTGTACTGATAGTGTAAAGTTTTTATAAATGAAGAGAATAGAATCCTGAATCAAAAAACTTTGCTCAACTTGACAATATTCCTTTGTTTAGCTTTGCTTATACACAGCGTATCTCTAAAGGGTTGCTGTAAATGATTATGATCATGATCATTTTATCACGTTTGCAGGTTTCTGCCTTGAATAGTGTTATTGTCTTTCAGGAAAGTGGGCGTATAGGTGGTGCAGTGGTTGGCGCGCATTACCCATGTATGGAGACCTTATTCCTTGACGCGGCAGACGCGGGTTTGAATCCGACCTCTTGTCCTTTTCTGCATGTCTCTATCCCCTTTCCTGTCAGCCTTCTGTCAAAAACAAGGAAAGATGTAGTAAAGTGAGCTGTAACACCCCTAGAGCTTTTGTCTTGTGTTATTTTTTATGGGGAAGTAGAATTCCAAACCAACTTAATTAAAAGTGAAAAATAAATAATTTACTCAATACAACACGTTTTTTGTGCCACTCTTGTTGATGATAATAGCCTTCAAGGGACTGCATTCATTATCAATTAAGTTTTTACATCAACGTGAGCAGTTTTCATCCTTTCCATGTTTTTTTTTTTTTCTTTTATTTCATCAATCATATGAAATGGCTTTTTTGTGTACAGAGGTTAAAACCACTGGATCTCAACTTGATTTAAGTCCAGGCTTTGGTTAAGTAATTTCAGTCCATCATATAATTCAGGTAGATTTACTTTTTTTCTTAAATTAAAACTATTGTCCTGTATCAGAACCCAATAGCTTTTAAATAATGTACTGAAATTCCAACATTATGCATCAGGTTAGAGCAATGACATGGAGCAAAAGCAGCAAAGCATCCCCAGACCATCATATGACTCCCATCCTGTTTGGTGTTTTTTTTTTTTTGTATAAACTGTTAATTATGAACAAACAAGGCCTACAGTTTTTTAACACTTTTGAGTGATCTTCACTTATCCCAGGATGAGTTCTCAATGCACTATTTAATTCATTTGGATAAGTTAGCCACTTCTTGGAGGGTCTACCACTGTTCCATACTTTTACCATTTGATAAGGACCCTTAAATGTTTCTTATCTTAACCTTTTGGGATTTTTTTTTACATCTAAAATTACTTTCTCAACAAAGTTGACTTAAATAGGTTGTTTTGCCTTAATAAATTCAATGTTTATTTCAAATTATGTTTTTGACTCAAATATTTCATTTTAAAAAGGACGGCAACTCCAGAAAAAGCTAAAAGGCAGAAGTACAGTTTTTCAAGCACTGTACATTTTGCAAGCGAAAAATACAAATATGCTCCACTTAAAATAATGAGGATATTTTCTTTTCTCTGACTGCAGCATTTTTAAAGGCCATGGTTTAATTGGTTTAAGAATTATAATTATTAACTACTTCCAGAAATATATATAGTAGCAGGAAGGTTAGAGCTGTGTGGGAGACCATACGTTTTACAAAGGTAAACATAGTTTTCTTCACATGCACTCACACATTTTTACTGCCTGTCTTGTTTATTTGCCTAATGATGCCAATATTAAATTTTTTTCCATTACCTTACCTGCACTTTTTTCTGTGCATGAAGAATATCTCTCTTGTGTCTTATTGCTATGCAAAACTAAAGAATCAAACAAAAAGAATACAAAAGGAAATGCATTAACGAGCAGCTTGTTACAATAACAAGTAGTACTTCCATCAGAAAAAATATATTTTTAGGTCATTCCTGGAATCTGTAATAAGTCATTTAAAGAAGTTTTAGCAGTATCTTAGCAAATTTGTAGACTCTATACTGCTATGCATATTTCTTTGGCATAACTTATATGAAAAGAAAATTGGCATAATTTTGTGTTGGCCCAAAACTTCATACATCCATTTCTACACTTATCCCACTTGGGGACATGAGGGATGCTGGTGCCTATCTCCAGCTGTCTACGGGGGAGAGGAAAGGTACACTCTGGACAAACAGGATAACCAATCATTCACGCACAAACTCACACTTAAAGAAGCCAATTAACCTAACAGTCATGTTAGGTTAATTGTTTATCTAACAGTCATCTAACAGCGCATGCACAGGGAGAACATGCAAACTCCATGCAGAATGACCGCAGGCCAGGAATCAAACCCAGAACCTTCTTGCTGCAAGGCAGCAGTGCTAGTTGGTAGAATGTAAGATTAAAATTTCATATATCCAAAAATTTTTAATACACAGTTTACTCCTGCAGAGTCAGGGGATACATATTTACAGCAGTAAAGACTCTGACAACATCTGTGAAATGTAACATTTCTTTTTATTTGTAATGATCATTTCAATCAGTTTTTGTGGAATTTTCTATTTTTAATCAAATGCTTTATTTTTTACTTTTATTTCTGGGACATGACCTGATATTTGAATCTAATTTTAAGTTCTTTTCAATTCAGTTCAGTTAAATTAAATCAAACTAAAAAAAAATCCTTTACTAATTCTAAAGGGGAACTAAATGTGGTTGTAAACCATTGTTTTTTTTTTTTCTTTTTTACAAGTTGTTGTAAATGTTAACAGCTGTCAGCTGAAACCCATAGCAAATTAAAACTGAAGATAAGATCTAATTTATGTCACATTTACATCTCCTAGACATAAAGGAGTATCAATCGAGACCAACATTTTTTTTTTCTCATTCTTCTCAATTTCTCTCCTGGGAAATAAGATTCATGGTGCATGTTTTCTAATAGCTCTCGAATTTCTTTTTTTTACTGGCCTCAGCTAAGAGACAAATTGAATATATTGTGCCAACTTCAAATATTTCTCAGTTTGATATTGTTACTCTTCGCTTCCACTGGAAGTGGATGCAGCACAGTGAGGACAATGATTGGGGGAGTAAACACACGATCCAAAGCTCACTATTAGAGAACCAGAGTAAAGAGGGGTGTGTCGTTCAATAATACTCATTAGAAGCTAGCTACAGGACATGCCAACTGGGTCTTTTACCAACACATTATTGGTTGTAAAGTGATGTCAGGAAAAAATAAAAGATTTTTTTCCCACTATCACACAATGAGCTTTGAGTTTATTAACTTTAACTGGAACCATAGATTCTTGCCCAGACTGAGCTTTTTGGCTATGGTAGGTATGTTTGGTATAAAGTATGTATTTGGAAAAGCACCTTATTGTGAGCTACTTTCCATTTCAAAAACCATGTGAACCTTCACCTAACCACACATAAAAACACCAGTAATCTCAAGATAGGTGCAGCCATCAGGTCTTCTCTCAGGACAACAACTGAAATGCTCAGACGTTTACCAGACACAAAATCAGTCTTTCATTACCATCCCAACTCCCAGACCTTCATTCTATTTAAAAACTGTATAGTTAGCTGAAAAAAACATAATCTTGTTAGGACAAAACAATTTAATCAGATGAGAAACAAAAAGACCCTTTACTAAATTAACATCTCTGTTAGATCATATTTCCCTCCCCATGCATGAAGCTGTTGCTGTACTGGAAAGCTCCTTCAGTGACAGACTGCTGCACCCTAAATGCACCAGGGAGCGTTATCACAGATCCTTCCTCCCAGCAGTTTTAGGGCTTTATAACCACCACTGTTATAACACCTCAATAAGTTGTTACATTGATGCTGATTTTTGCACAGTTTCTGTCTTAGTTAGTTCAATAACATGCTGCTGTGATTTAATCTTTTTGCACATCTCTTGTGTTGCTGCTATTTTTCTCATATCTATTACTTTAAAAATGTCCACAGCTGTTATTGATTTTTATTCTCCAGATACAGCGCATTATTCTGCAAAACACTGTACAGTACAATACTCACTATGTTTTATTTTCCTATCTGTTATTTTTATATACTTTTCTAAAGTGCACAGTGTGTTACCACTTCTACTATAACCTTTGCTGCTGTAAAAGCCACAATTTCCTCATTGTCAGATAATAAAGGGATTTTCTATTCTATTTTATTCTATTCTATTCTATTCTATTTAGAGACATTATGAAAGGAGGAATTATCAAACATCTCTGATGCTGTCTCTTCATGTTTCATGACTTGTTTTCTAGCCAGGAGGTAGCACGAAGGAAGGACCACATGATAAGAAAGCAGATTAAAGTGCAAATATACTGTAACTGTTTTAAGTGTCTAAATGCTTAAAAAAGTAAAATGCACTTCCTTTGTTTCTTAAAACCAAAACCAAAAGGGGGTTTACATTAAATTAACTGCTTTTGGTGGGTTTGTCTGAAAAATCTTATAACATCATGCTAAAGAGTTTTTACTGTGTATATTTGTTGTCCAAGTGTTTGGCAGATCTGAGCTTGGCAAACGTTAATTAAGGGTAGTACTCTGGTCTTTTTTTTAATATCAATTTGATAAATTTGTCCCCACTAAAGGCTGCACTTCCTCTTAAATTGAGATTTTGCCAGTTTTTACATGTAATTAACATGGATGAATTCCAATATATTAGACAGAGTGTTTTCTATCCCTATGGATGCTAAATACTAAAACAAATCAACATAGTGGAGTTGCAAATGGTGCTGACATTTTCAGTTCCTTCTTTTTCATAATTACATAAATTTTCTCTTCACAATGGTCCATGCAAAAGCACATTGCATACTGATCCCCTTTTTCATTGTACAAGATTAAAGCGCTCCAAAACCGGTATTTACTTCAACCCCGCATATATTTTGAGCACTATCTGCAAAGAGATGTCCAGCTCTATTAATTGTGAGAAAAGCATGAGATGAAAAGGTTCCCTGGGTGAAAGGTGGTTATACTTCCAGCTCTCAACCTGCCCACCGTGTCCTCCCACTTTGCTCAGATTAATGATATCAGACATATCACAGGAGCCCTTATCAGACATGGACGCTCCCAGCGAACAAAGCCCCAGTTAGAAGCTTCCTGTTAAATGATGAAGTGGGACTGATGGCGAGAAGAGGCAGATATTCAAAATGAATACTAATGACTGTTTTAACTAATAGGTAAGCATAGAGAAAGAAGGATTTAAAAGTATGTTAAAAAACATTAAAATCAACATCAAGAGCATTACAGGTTGTATTATTTATAAAAACAAAAACAAAAAAAACATCAGCTTTGGATGTTTGCTTGAACAGTGAGCTTAATTGACACTGTCTTAAGACTGAATATTTTCAGAGCACCACAGTGGTCAGGTGGTTAGCATTCACAACATAACAGCTCCAGTTTAAAATCTATTTGCCTTGGGAGTATAAAGGTTTCTCACCAGGGCATATTTTTTAATAACTTTCTGGAAAAAATGTATTAGAGTAAGCGGCACTGGAAATGAATGTTTGTGTTCTTGCTGCATTTAAAAGCTGTTTTTTTCAAACAAAATACTATATTGTGAGGACCTGGACCTCACAACAAAGTTAGGGGGTAGGACTATAATGTGA